GGGGGGGGCCCTCGTCTGAACAGTGTTGCGTCAGCCTGCCCTTAAGACGCAGGGACACGTTGTACTGTGTTCAAGAGCCAAGTCATTTCAATTCTCCACCTCTCCTTTCCATTCCTAAATCTCTGTCTGAGCACAATCCCACACCCAAACACCACAGATGAGCATTGTAACGGAGCCTATAGCGAGAACAGTGTCTATATATCATACTGGGGTTCCCGTCTCCTTCATCTTCACATATGCTTATCCACATGCTCTCTTATTATATGCCGTTTTATGACAACCCTGTTTTTCTTTTTGTTCTGCACATCAAAGGTTCACTGGAATTAGCCTTCATCAGCAGGGAATTAGTTGAAAAGAGAACCACACATATTCAGCTCATCATAGAGTACCACAGGATCACACCTTATGAAGCTCCAATCAACATGAAGAACATCATTTAAATGCAACACTATCATCTTTGATTTCTGCCTTATTTTAAAGACAGATATTCAACCCCAGATGGAGAATCAGCTGAATTTGAAGAAGAAATCCACTGAATGAACCTTATTGTGATATGTGTTGATGACGGTGTATATTTTCTGTGTGTCATATAGGAGAGCTGTACATTGGAGGTATTGGGAAGAGCATGTACAACAGTCTGCCCAAGCTCATAGCATCGCGGGATGGCTATCAGGGCTGCCTGGCCTCAGTTGACCTGAATGGCAGGCTTCCTGACCTGATCGCAGATGCTTTGCACCGTGTGGGGCAAGTGGAGCGAGGCTGTGAAGGTTAGTGTACTTCTGCTCTGAGCCTTTCAAGGGACATCACAACAATGTACACAACTTAAAATACACCACTTCCACGTGCAGTTAAAGATGCACACATCATTTTGTGCCACTCGTGTGTCAATTTTACACTTTCCTGTCAGTCTAGTTTTATTTTGTGATAAAATTATTATTTTTTATATTGTATTATTATTATTATATTTTAGTTGCTTTTTTGTAATAAATATTGTTTCACATTGTATTATTATTATTATTTGCTATGAATGTCATTTATTTTATATTTAAATAATATATTGGCTTGTAATCAAATATATACTATGGATTCTTCAACATTAAAATTCTAGCTAATACAGATATGATATTAAAATATATATTATATTAAATTAAATTAAACCGTTTCTTTATTTATTTGATCAAAGAAAACTGTCTTGGAACACTGCTTGCTGGAAGAACCTCATGAAATATTCTGATTGCTCTTTGGTTGGGTATCATAAACCTTAAAAAATAGAAAAATCATTGAAAAAAATAGAAAATAGATTGTTCTTGTACAAACTATTAGAGACCTTTATTATTGTTTTAGTTGATCAAAATAAAATTGTTAAAAAAATCAGGTTCTGTAAAAAAAAAAATCAGTGTACAGTTTTGTTGTTGTTTTTTTTTTTTTAATAATTATAAAGCCCAAATGTGACCAGACAAAAACTTTTTGTACTAGAAGAAATACCTTGGACTTTTTTTTATAATGTATGTTTGTTTTTTTATTTATTTATTTAATAATTAAGTATATAATTTTTTTCTCAATTAATTAAAATATAGACTATAAACTAATATCTAACCAGTATGGACTACTTGCACTGAGCCTCGTGACGTACTTCCATTTGGAAATAATACAGCTCCGTTATTTCCAGTTATGCATATTTTCAATGTGCTAGTCATATAGTTATTCATATAGATGCTTATTAAAATGAGAGTCCATGGGATAATTTCAAAATCTGGACATTTTCATAGACAGGAGAAGAGATATTCTGATGATTACTGTGTACAGAATTTTCCAAACTCTGCGGAACTTGAAGTTTTAATCCAACATAAACCAATCTGAGAAAGCAGTGGCTGGTAAACGTACGTTTCATGACAGGGTGTCAGTACTCTAAACTAGTAACCGCAATGCTGCAGTGTGTGTGAGATCTTTTATTTATCTGTATTAGATGTTAGTCACTATCCTGTGTCATTTTTCATTCACAATCATTTCACTGTATGCAATGCCAAAATATGAATATTCGACAGAATACACCGTTCATTCAGCCATTTTAAACATTGGAATAAGAGCACCAACGCACACCCCCCCCCCCCCCCCCCCCAAAAAAAAATGCAGTTGTAGTTAAACCATAGTAACCACAAATTAACCCGGGATTTGCTACACTAACCATAGTTTAACCATGGTATTTGTTGTAAAATTGTGGTTATACAAATGGCAATCCGCAAAAAAAACATGGTTACTACACTTTTATTATAGTAAAACGTAAGGGTGCTTATCAGCCAAATCCATTTAAAACTGTAAATTCAACTGGTATGAAATATGATCCGTAAGAGAAAAATACTGTTAATGAGAAGACAGGCGCTGGACCTCGGCAGGTTAGCAGGGAAATATATTTATGTATTATTCAGAATGCACATTTGGAAGGGAAATATATTTAGGAACAATTCAGCAGGTTGAAGATAATTCATGTTAATGCAGAGAATATGATTAATTGTTTAAAAAAAATTGCCAGCCCTAAAACATAGTAATAATCCGCATTCTCATGAGAAACTGTCTGTATGTAGGTGCGTTAAACGCTGACCGGAAACTCCCTAGCTGTACAAAGTAGAACACGGAAGTGGTTATGCAAGTAGTCCATTATGCATCCCTAATATACAGTGGGTACGGAAAGTATTCAATTCTGTGTTTTTCTGTCAATATGGGGTGCTGTGTGTACATTAATGAGGAAAAAAAATTAACTTAAATGATTTTAGCAAATGGCTGCAATATAACAAAGAGTGAAAAATTTAAGGGGGTCTGAATACTTTCCGTACCCACTGTATACTATGATACTTATACTTGTAGGTCTGTTTTTGATCCAATGGATTTGTGTTGACAAAGTTGACTGCCGAGTTGTTTGTCCATTTTCCTGTTGCTCACAACTAGTGACCATTGTGAGATTCTGAGCTTAGACACTTGTGTCAGTGTGGACATGATGATAGTCTGTGTGATTTATAGTGATTATAATTGGTTTCAGCCGGCCCTGGCACAACCTGCACGGAGGAATCCTGCTCCAATCAGGGAGTGTGTCTGCAGCAGTGGGAGGGGTTTACCTGTGACTGCACCATGACGACATACGGAGGTCCCCTCTGCAGTGACCGTGAGTACCGCTTTGCCTTTTAGTAGGGATTAAACCGCTTTATTAAAGAGGCTTGTTTGGCCACATTAATAAGCCGTTGAAGGCTTCTCTGATAATCTCTGAGCTGAGTGTTTGAAGTACTAAACGATGGTGCGCTGCAATGCAGTCTTTTTAATGTGCAGATAAGGCAGAACACTCTAATTAGTGAGGGCCGCAAGATAATATTCATAAGGAGCTAGTAATGGTTCAAGTGACCCCTGAACTGAAGGCAGGAAGAAATGCAATTTGGGTTGCATTTAAAATGTTTAATTACACCGAGGCTTGGAGGTGGAACCGTGGGTTTTTAATGTCTGCGATGATGTACAATAAAAAATCCAACTGTGCTTTGCTTGCAAACAGAAACTGGCCTTGTGCACAAGGCAGGTTGTGTTTGCTTTAACATCTCCATATTTTTGACAATAATGCTCTGGAGACAGGCCTAATGAGCTAAATGAAGATAAATAGGGTTAGCTGCTCTAAACATTAAAAAAGAGCAGATAACCGTGTTGGACTGTTTTAAACAACATCTTCATTAAACACCTGGAGAGATTTAAATAAGCGGTTTAATATAGTTCAATTAATTTGCAAAGTTTCTATAATGTAGTTTTAGAACTGGTACATGGAACAATGAAAATACACACATAGATCATGTCTGCCTTTGATTAGATTATGCATTTGTGCTTCACAGTTCTGGAAACCATGTAGTATATTATTTGTGTTATATACATTGATTCAACTCTAAATTAGTAACATTAATTCTGTCTCATATTTCCCTCGGGTGGAACGCCTATATATTGGGAACAGGGTTCAAAATTAACATTCACCAAACGCCAATGGCAGGTAAATAAAATTGTAACTTCATTAGGAACTGCAAAATGGTTTATATTATATTATATTATATTATATTATATTATATTATATTATATTATATTATATTATATTATACAAAAATGGACATATAAACACAGAATTTTCTTAATTTACCCACTGTTGGCTGGTGCTGCAAGTTAATGTTGGACCCTGATTGGAAATGAAGCTAATCATGCATGGATTTAATTTCTCTAGCTTCATGATTTATATCACTCTTAGTCTTGTCAGCCAATGATTGAGAAGCTACTGTATGAAGAATTGGTGTGAATAAGGCATCAAATATTTACTTTGCTTATTTATCAGTACCAGAATTAAAAGTGACCAGTATACAAGCAGCATATGTAAACATTTGCAAAATTTATTATGCATGAACTATGAAGCCGTGGAATTTGCCGATGCAGCAGATCTGTGAGTATAAAACAACTTCTGCACCGCTAACTCAATTAACACTTCAGACAATTGTGTCGCAGCACCGCATACCTGCAACACCATAAAGCATCTCCATCTCCATTATAAAGGTGATAATGACTTGAAATGATCTTGTATAGACACAATGTACATTTTGAAGAGCACTGTACATTCTCAGGCTCAGGTAGAGGAATAAAAAAAATGATTATTAGCTGCTCGTGTCAAAGTAACATAGTGAAGGCTGTTTTACATTCATACACTAGCCGAAAGAGATGAATAAACATGCTTAATGTTATTATTATTTTTTTTAAAACCTACAGACAGCTGGCAGAAAAGAAAGAGGAGGCCAGTATTTAACGGTAAAGGGATTTCTGAGCATTTTAGTGTGGGATTATGTGATTCCAATGTGATTTAGTCTGTCTGCTAATACTTGATACACCTACATAGCCATAAATCAATAAACACAATTATTCTTTCTTGAAAAGTGGTTCAAACTGAGAAAATACAAGGCTTGTCCTGATTTAAACAGTCCTCATTCATGTTCTGCATTTCTCGTCATCAGATTGGATTTCCATAGAAGAGTTTTCATGGAAGTGTTTGTGCTTTTTGGTACATTGACACGATTTGAATTAACTACACCTCTTTTATACCTAAAGCAGCAGTAGCACACCTGTTCATCCTCGTCTGCATAAAAGACTATGGAACAGGCTGCAGGTGTGAAGAGAAAAACAATCCTTCAAAAGTCATTTTCACACGATCAACACAAAATCCATTGGGCAGCCACAGAGTTGGAGCAGCTTCACTAATGCATGACTCATTCCCTTCCTCAAACAATGTGACAAAGGCAGTCAGTCATCTTTTTACCTTGTCCCCTACAACACAGACACACACACATGCCCATGCATTTTTTTTTTCTCAGAGGGAGATTTTTCCAGACAGCAGACATATGGAGAGAATAATTTTGGCTGACCTCAGTAATTAGCGTAGATTATTTAGGAATATCATTAGCACAAATTACACCTGCTGCTTGTGTGACATCTCGCACATTTTCAGCGACTTCCAAGCACCTTTATTCGCATGCTTGCTTTTAGTAACAGGAAATGTGAGAGCCGCAGACAGTCATCCGATCCCTTCCAGACTTCTTCCACATACACGTCGATATGTCAAGCAAATCCCGCCGGAATATCACGGGTTGTATTGCATGTGTCTTGTGTTGTAGAGCAGCGTATTCAAGTGGCTGGATCTATGTTTCATACGTTGATTTCCTGTGAACAGTCACATCCATCACCCGAGGTCTAATTAAATGGCTTGTAATGTGTTACCCGTCCTGAGCCCTGTCCAAGGACACAGCAGGTCGGTCCCTGTGAGTCTTAAGGGATTGCTCTTTCCTACTTCCTTTGTTCATTCAGGATTCACTTCATCCCTCTGTACCTTACATCAGACCCTCCAGCAGTGACCATTAAATTAAATAGATGCTGCACTTTCATGTCTGATGTTTTGCCTCGCAGCCTTGGACTCTACTCTCACATTTCTCTGCAAGCATCAGCTCAGCCAACCTTACATTTTACATAGTTGTGCCCCGCACATAAAATGGACTACATTTCCTTACAGGAGTAATCGTTTTTGTTGGGCAAAACTTTAAACAAAGCTTTTTCTTGTTAAAGGTGCGCTAAGTGTTTTTTTCTACTTGAAAAGTTTTTACACACAGAAATTATCGCGCGTTAATGCAGTTTTTTATTATTATGAAAGTCCGTTGCTCACTGGCTCTGAATACACATACAGGCAAACCATGGATCACAGGAGGGGTGGAATGTTGATCAGTACTGGCTTGGGATGAGTGTAATCACGCCTCTCAACCAATGAGAGCATTTGGGGTGGGCCTAAGACTGCAGCAGCGGTCACATGAAACGCTTACGACTTCATAAGTGGGAAACAGGAAGTTTCCGATAGCACGTGAAGGCAGCAGAGAAATGCTCTCGCTCAGCACAGTGGAGTGCATTGTTTTGTTAACTTTGTGGTTTATTATTTTGAGTCGTTTGGGACGCGGTAACACACGGCCCTCTCACAATATATTGCTTTACAGATCTATCACTTTTGCAGCACAAAAAAGATTCACGCAATTATGCTGTACGTATCAGAAGTTCAGTGCTCTGGAACTACATGCATACTGCGCTCGAGCCCAAGTGAACCACGCTCTGGCCCACCTCTTCCAACCGAGCCAGGGCCAGCTAAACGAACCACACCCTAAGATTAAGATTGCCTAGTGTGAGTACACACTTATTCTCCCGCATCTCGCACACGAGTCTCTAACCGCCCGCACCCACACTCGCCCATCAAGTGTTGTCCCGCGCCGCACTCTGTTGCGTTGGGTCTCGCGATCGTGCAGGTCTCTACTTGGAAGGTACCTGTTATAATGCTATGATCGAGGCTCTGGACTCGGAGCATAACTTGTTTTTCTGTAACAAACTATAAAATATTTTCTATAAAAACGTTAATGCCCTGGCAGTGGCAAATAGCTTTGGTTTTATATTTAGTTTGATTACATTAATGTTATAAATTGAGATTTACAAGAAATATTTTAACTGCTACTATGTAAAAGGAATACCGCTGTAAAAAAGCACTTTATTTGTTTAAAGTGTTTGCAAACCAAATGTTATTTCACTTTTGTTCATATAGCAGTACTTCTAAATGAAAAAAAGTGCACAATACACTACTTTTGAATTCATTTGCGAATTTTGTGCATAACAATGCGATTAATCGCAGAAAATCATGCAATTAATCATGATTACAAATTTTAATCGTTACCCAGCACTAGTATATATATGTATGTTTTGTAGCATTATAAATGTATTTATTGACCCTTTTCATCAATTGAATGTGTCCTAGATAAATAAAAGTAGTAATTTCTTTAACAGCAACAAAAAATATTACTGACCTGACATCAAACTTTTGAACGGTGTACAATACATTTTAGTGTGTCCAATAGATATGGATTTAGTAAAGACATTTAAATTTGAGAATTTAAATTTGAGTAAACAAAGCTGCAGAATTTTTAATTTTAATTTTAGTGAGAATGTAATTTATGGCATAAAATGAATAAAATAAAGAAAATAGATTTAAAACATTTGGTGAATAATATTAATAAAATTATTAAAATAAAATATTTTTAAACAATCAGACTTTTAAGTAAAATATTCACGGTCAGCAGTTATTTTATGCCTTTTAAGATATTTTAGAAAAACCTTTTTTTACTGGAAAAAGTTTTACACACGCAAAAAAAATGTGTGTAAAATTAAATAAATAAAATAAAAAATATATATTCAAAATATTCAGTGAATATTCATAAAATTATTAAAATAAAGGGTTAAATATTCACATTTTTGACTAAAATATTCACAATCAGCAGTTAATTTATGCTTTTTAAAATATCTTAGATCAGTAAGTTAACAACAGTGTTGTCATGCCATCAATAAGCTATATTAGTTTACTTGTGATTGATTACACTGATCCTCTTTTTTTGATTTATTGATATTTTAAGTGTCTGTGTTCTGTATTGTGTTACGTTGAAGGAGAAAAATTAACATTGCTTGGTGTCACCTTACAAATGAATCCTTCATGCTGACATTTTCTGAAAGCCAATAGGTTACCAGGGTCAGTTGATCCATACAAACCTCAGATTCCTGCTGGAAGGTTCCGTGTATGCA